CATAAGTCTGCAAGGAGAACAAACACTTAATAACTGCAGCATTCTAGAATTAATCTACTGCAATGAGACATATATACCCATAATTGCCATCCTAACTTGACTGTCCATCAACGTACCTAATATTATTCTTCAGTCTCTTGTTACAGGTGAGGCATTTGAACGATAATGGTTCTTTTGAGTTGTCCATTGGTACATAGACTCGATTCCCTTCAAATGTGCCATAGTAGAAATCATCCACGAGCATGACAAGTCTTTTCTGGGTATCTCCGGCCTTTATAGGTGGGCTATCCAGCTTGATACTGGGCACAGCAGAGAGGCTTTTAGGCGGTGTGGCTGGAGTGCTCACAGCAATTGCGGTACTGCTCGGGTCAGTCTGGGCCAGATCTGGGCAGCAGAACTAAAGGGGAGAATGAGATTAATTGACCACTTTTAAATTACCAAAATACACTTTTATATATATATAAGAGCCTCAATCATTTTGAACTGAGCTCCACAACGAGGACACAAATGAGTAGTTGTTGATGCTGTTGTATGTGTAATAGGGATTGCTACAAAGAAAAGAGAGAAAAAAAAAAAAGAATTTGGAATTTATCAGCATGGTTCTACTCTAATATGGAACTATCATAGTAGCTATCACAGATGCAGAACAACAAACTTACTTTGGATAACATTTTGTGCCATGACAGGTACAGCAGAGGAAACAATAGGGCCGTTGTTGGTCTTTTGATTGCTCATGACAACAAATGTCTGCGCTTGAGCCCCACCAGGAAGGTTCACTGATTTCACAAGGCTCATTATATTTTGCATGTCCAAGGGTCCATTTCCTGGCTTTATTGTCACTGTAAAGAGAAATAAATACAATTTTATAACTGATAATTGCAGTTCTTGATGCTGAGTGGTCAATACAGTGATCAAGCTGTGATAAATACATCTAGTAACAGTTATAACAGGAAATACCAGTTTACATGATTTTATCTTGTGAACATTAAATGTGCAAAGCATTTTTTAAATGCAATTTTAATATAATTAATATTTAAATCATTATTAGTACCTTCACTGTTTCTTAAAATTACAAACCACTGTCTAAAAAGATAAAATAAAACGATTTCTGTAATAATTAATGAAAACTCTACTCAATAGGAGCATCTTACAGATTTTAGTCGTGGTTCGTGCTGCGGAGGGCGGGGTAATTGTTGTAGACGACATGGTGGGCAGAGAATTGGCTGCAGGAGGGGCGACTGCTGTTGTGGTACGAAAGGTGAGAGTAGCAGGTATCTGCATGGTGCTAAAAGTGCTGGGTGTTTGTGCTCTGTTTGCAACGGGAGCTCCAGTCCTTATTTGAGCTGGCTGGGTAATTATTTGGGTTGATCCAACAGCTGGTTTGAAAATTTGTGTGCCAGGTGCTGAGAATACATGTAAAAAATTATTGTTAATCAATAAGCAACAACAACAACAAAAAAATCAAGTTTTAGGAGCACATTACCATACCTTGGACTAGTGTAATGGGTCGAACAGTCTGGCCCTGTTGGACATTCAGTACCAAACTCATTGGGCTCTGGCCAGGATGGATATTCTGGACAGGAAGACCCTGAATCATGCACAATATGAAACACATTGATTAATAAAAGAAAAGTTGAAATAATCAGAAATGAACTTGGATCTATGAGGTGGGATGGTAGCACCTGTGTGGTAAAGTAAATCGGCTGACTGTTGGCAGCATTGGCAATCGAAGTTGTGACAGGCAGGAGAACCTGTGACAGAGCCACAGTGCCGAGCCCTCCTCCTCCTGGCGTCAAGATGACCTGCTGCCCTTGCACTGCTTTAGGAATATCCGCCGGGACAGCAGCAGGAACTACGCGTTGAGTCACTAAAAGAATAATTGACTGATTAAAGGAGAAGTGCAGAAAAAAAATGTAAAACACTGTCATCAAGATGGTGCCATTGGCACTGATGTACCATTTTTGTAGTTTATATGACTTTGTGCTTCCAGTATTTGACATGGATTATGTGTAAATAGTGAGAATTTCAGTCTCTACCTTGCACAAAGCGTATTAAGCGTACACTGTAAATATATAGAGCACAAATTAATTTTTATTATGTTTTTGCCATTTTAAAGTTGGACAGCCCCAGTCCTAATTCACTTTCACGAAATGAAAAACAGCAGCCAAGATATTATTCATAATTTGTTTGTGTTTAACAAAATAGAGAATGTTACACAGGTTTGGAACAACATGAGAATGAGTATATAATGACAAAACATTCCTTAAATAGGTAAAATAACTGATAATCACTCAACAATGCTATAAGGAACAAATGCTCACATGTATTTGTGATCAGCGGAACTGTGTTTGCTGTATTTACTACAGGTGGTAGGTTTGGGATCACCACGGTTTTAGGCTCAGCTGGAATATCAACCTTTGCGGCAGGAGTTGAAGACACTAAAAAGCGAAGAAGGACAGGTTTTATTTAGCATAATAATATTTATTAAAAGAAAAATAAAATATTTCTTTAAGTATTTACATATGTGTAAATAAACATACATTTAACTATAAATGTTACAGAAAAACCTATAGAATTGCACACCAGTGGGAGTACTGCTTTCAGCATTTCCCCCTGAATCATCCTCCATTGAACTTTGCTGTTGCCATGGTTCCAGCTCCTCCTCCTCACACTCCATAAACAAATCCGCATCCATGTTTCTGAAATATAAAACGTTTGTCGAGCAAAACATTTTATCAGTGAACATGTGAAACAGTAAACGTGCCTTTACATTTAGGCTAAGATGAACAAATATAATAACGCTATTACTGCCAATGGCATTTAGTAAAATAAATCAGGAAATTATGGTTTAGTTTTATTTTGGACAGGTGAATGACATGTTTGAAATGAAGACCCTCACAATATTCCCCGGGCTCTGACAGCATTCAGCTCCGACCGGTTTCAACGTCAAGACTGGCGTCTATACAACCACCTCATCCTGCAAATGACATAAATAAAAAAAAGAGTGAGTAAAACACATTTTGTTTTTACATACATTTGTAGAAAAATGTCCAATATATGCTGGATTAAAATGGGTTTGATATCCAGCGCGCCACCGTATCACTTAAGAAAAGCCCTCAATATATTGTGTAAGTACGCGCAATGTGGTTTCATCCAACTGAAAGGAGCTAAGAGAAAAGTAGTTCCTGTACCATTACATCCAGTGCGTGAGACTGGATGATTTGACAGAACTAAACGAAAGCATAAGCCTTAGGTTTGTGTACAATAACAATAAATGGGGTTGAAAATCCAAAGTGGGTCGGAACGAGAGCCAGCTCGACGTTTATTACAAATACTCGGTCACAAATTATGCAGCAACCCCCTCGCGCGGCGCCAACCGAGTGCGCACTCCGCATACTGTCCTCTGCGCACATAATAAACGACGATCATCTAATGCGTGAATTAAAACGCGAATACATCAAATATGATCGAATTTATAAATAATACTTACCGGATTACAGTCTATATGGAAATATGCTCAATGTGATATATTGAAAGAACACAAAGCCTTGCCGGTACGTCACAGACGAGACGAATAAGTGCGCTAAATGGGCAGAGGTTCTGCTCTTTCTGCGTCAGCGATTGGTTGATGCACGCAAAACGCCACTTCCTGTTTTGTATTCTGAGCTCTGATTGGCTGTAATCTCTGAAATAAGAAGGAGTGGTTACTGGAACAAGAAAATGGCTTCCTTCCTTGAAACGACAACATTTAACACTGTTTAACCAACTGCTGGTTTAATAGTGGAAAGCAGATAATGTTGGTATTTTATTCAACACTTTGCTGGTGTTTTGCAGATAATCTGTCAAAACCATCATAGATTGGTCTTTTTTGAACAGAATTCTTGATGTTCAATAATTGAACACTGAAAATATCTCCTATATGAAAATATTGGCCAAAAATTATCATATATCAGCCCCTTACATGCACAAAGCACTGATAAGTAGGTTAGGAAACAAAAACCTGTACTTTTCCAGAACAGGTTCTATTTTTTAAAGCATACTGGAACAGAATGATTTTTAAAACATTATGTTCCATTAAGGGTTCTCGAATGTGTGGTCTTCCCAATGTGGGCGGGACATCACATTTCGGTGTTTACTGCACTACTGTTCAGACTCACTGCAACGCCGTTACTGAATATACAGCACAAAATATTCAACACGACTAGTAAGGTCCGAATCCTGAACAAACGACTCTAATGAATAGGTTCTTTTGAATGAATCGAAAACCTACAGCTCAACCAGTGTACTACGACTACGAGTACCGAACAAATTACTCTTCGGATCCGATTCTTTTTAGTGGCTCAAAATCATTAGAAGGAGATCGATTATCGTCGATTTCACCAACCTGTACAAAGTTGTAAAGGCTTGTGTGGGACGTAATGAATGGTTCTTCATATAGTGTAATTTAAAATAAACTCTTCGAGTTTTGTTGTAATCAAATACATTTTTGATTGTTTCATATTTTACTTAATCCATAGTTGATGAAAAATCCCAGATCACTGCTGATTACAGTAAATGCAATAACAGAGAAATAGGAATCGAAATCGTAATAACTTGCGGTTAAAATAAAATAATAATAATTTCGCATCCCTCGTGAGGGCGCGTGCGGTCGTGCGTAACGTACTTACGCCATTTTCTTGTTCATGGCACGCACAGATCATGGCACAGATGTGTTGCATTTGTGTCAACATACCCACGGCCAAACGTGTATTATTCCAATTTTCATAACAAGGCCTATTGTACTTTTTACTCTGAATATTAATACATCTACCATCTGACCATGCGTGAAACGTCTTGTGATTCTGAGATAAACGTCGTTTCAAAACATGGAGAAATCTGCTGTTCTAAATGTTTATGAGGCGCGCGTAATCAGCCATTTGGCGAAGGGTACAGCAGGTACTAAGCTGTTGTTTAAGTTGCTTAAGCCCTATATATAGCATTCTGCACAGAGAGGACACAATGTGACATTCTTGATTTTGTAGACATTCACGAGAGATGAGGGATCAAGTCACATCATCTGATCGAGTGAATTATGGCGCTGTCATCGCGCTGGTCGCAATCAGTAAGTTACGTGTATTGTTTGACATCTTTAAAACCTTTATTAGAATCTTTATTTAAAATAAACATTAAAGGCTCTTAAGGTGTTTAAAATGATCTATGAAAGAAATTAATACTATAATTTAGCAATGAAGCATTAAAAAGGCGTATAATATTATAAAAGATTTCCATTTAAAAGAATGTTAAATGCTGTTCTTTCGAACATTCTATTAATCAAAGAATCCTGAAATGTATCACCGTTTCTAAAAATGTAGCACCAAATCAACATATTAGAATGATTTCTGAAGGATCATGTGACATTGAAGACTGGAGTAATGATGCTGAAATTTTTAAAATATATATAAATAGAAAACAGTTATTTAAAGTGTAATAATATTTAACAATTTCAGCATATTTAGTATTATTATGCAGCCTTGGTGAGCCCAAACTTTTGAACAGTAGTGTGTGTTTATAATATAGGCTACACATATGCCTATACAACAATATTACCAGTTAAATAATAATAAAAAATGCTACAGATTTTCAAGATTCTACAGCAGAGTATGTATTTTAAATTATTTTAAACATTGTTTTAAGGATTCCATCCCTCTTTACAGGCTTCATGCTGCTGCGGAAATGGATAGCTGGTGGTGTCTGCAAAAGCCGTGCTTGTCTAGATGGAAAGACGGTTGTGATTACTGGTGCTAACACTGGGATTGGCATGGAAACTGCAAAAGATATGGCTCGTAGAGGTATGGCATATTATTTAGGACCCCATCTATTAATTCCCTTACTTTTAACTTGGAAATGTGAATATGTGTGCATTTAGGGGCTCGGGTAGTGATGGCTTGCCGGGACCTGACTCGTGCCGAGAATGCTGCAGAGTATATTCGACGCTCCACAGGAAATGGCAATGTAGTCATCAGACACTTAAATCTGGCCTCTCTATATTCTGTCCAAGAATTTGTCAAAGAGTTCATAGCAACAGAAGAACGACTGGATATACTTATAAACAATGCAGGTGAGTCAGACTGTCATCATAGTCTGATTTCATTCTTAAAGGTCCCATATTTTACACTTTTCTGGAGTTTTATTTTAGGTTTTGATGTCCTTAAGAATATATATTTGCGGTATAAGTACCAAAAACCATCTCAATATATTTTTACAGCTCCAGACACAGTGAGTTTGTCTTTACTTTACACGTTAAATGTGATCCACCTCATAGTAACAATCCTGTCAGATCGTCCATCCTTTGAGTGAGTGTGTAACGTTACAGGTCGGCCGATCAGGTTTCGTGGTTAAATTAACCTTTTCGACATGTTTCCCTGTTGTTGTTGCTCAGCAATAGCATGGACGTGATCTTATCTGGGGGTTTGGCAAAAGGAGAGTGGGACTGTGGGTGGTGACTGTGTAGTTCTGAGTCAACTTTTTACGGAAGTCACAACGGTTCATAAAAAATCACAGCTTCTTTATGCAGGCTGTGTGAATTTTACTGTGGACTGACTGTTTCGAAACTTATATGGTAGTTACATAGCACCTAGACCTCAGTTATCATTAAAAAAGCCAGGAAATTTCAGTTTTGACAATATGGGACCTTTAAAAGCAAGGGGTACAGAGACAGATCTTAAAGTCCCTTTTTTCTGACAGGTGTTATGATGTGTCCAAAGTGGATCACAGAGGATGGCTTTGAGACACAGCTGGCTGTCAATCACTTGGGACACTTTCTTCTGACCAATTTACTGTTAGGAATGCTAAAGAGATCCTCCCCCAGCCACGTAGTTAATTTGTCCAGTATTGCACATGTTGGTGGTAATTTCTTTTGAATAAAAATCAGAAATACTCAGAATGTTACGATTTTAAGATATAAGAATGCTAAGATAAGAAATTAAGACTTTTTTTTTTTTAGACCAGACTATATTATTTATTTGCTTATATTTATGGAAAATACGCCACTATTCAAAATTTTGGGGTCTGTAAAAATTTTTTTGCCTTTAAATGCATTTATTTGATTAAAATTTACAGTAAAAACAGTAATATTGTGAATATATATATATATATATATATATATATATATATACAGGTGCATCTCAAT